TGAGTGTCAGAGCCACAATACAGGATGAAACATGGAGCATCCGCAAATACCTCAGGAAGACGGGCCCCTGAGATAAGCCGTTCCAATGGTGCCTCAGACAAATGAAGATAGATGGGGATAAGGAAGAGGAACTATAATGAAAGACCAAGCATCTGCATGGCATGTACCATCAACAGATCGAGTGGATCAGAGCACAGAGGCTCTGATGATAGCAGCACAAGAAGAGACCTGAAGCACCAGATCCACAGAGGCAGCAGTTTACCAAGGCTGACAGGACGTGTGGCGTGTGTGCAAAGATGCCCCTGAGACTAACCAACACATAGTAGCAGGATGTAAGACGCAAGGTTGGACCATATACACTGAGACAGGTAACGACCTCGCCAGTGTAGCCAGTGAAGCCAGTGAAGCCAGCAACCTTGCCAGTGCAGCCAGTGACCTCAAAAAGCAGAAAAGCACAAGAAGCAAAGAGAAGATAAAAGACTCAAGAGATGAAGGCAATTACCAGAAATGTTCCATTTAAATCACACACAGACCCGGGTCAACTGCAGGATCGGCTGTCTTTTATTTTTGTCTCTGTACAATATTGAATGCGATCCATTACTGCCACTCTGGTAATGGTAATCCATCTTTGACAGACCTTTCATAGCATATGTGGCTTTTTGGAAGTGAACACTGAGACTGAGGGCAAAATAACAGATTAACAACCCTAATTTGTCCTGAGGTTTTAATGGCCAAAATTATATGCAATCTTCCCCCTGTCTTCTATCAATCTCAGCGTCACCGTGGTCGGTTTGAATTCACATTTATAGTCAGCCATGTGCTTTCAATTTCTTCTGTGGACTAATAAAGGCCATTTGAGAAAGGGGCATTTTGATTGGGTGATTTCTCTTTTTTTCTCTTTAAAAACCTCTGGACTGTAGAGTGTGAATGTTTGACAGTTACAAATGCTGCTCTGGCAGGTTCACATTTCTTTCAACCAGCCAGCGAGAGGACTGATTCTTTAAGCTGACGCAAATGTGAAGAGAAGACAAACTGTACACACACACACACACACGCAAACACACACACACACACGCAAACACAAAACCTGGATTCAATAATCCAGACTGCTCTATTAAGATGAGAGGCCGAACATACATAACCACTGTCAGAAAAACTCAATGTAAAACTACGGAGGAAATGAAAGTTCAACAAAGTTTAATGTCATCCATCAGAATATGGAAATTTTTCAGACAAAAACCCAACTGTACTGTCTCTGCGCCATACTGAAAATTAGTTATTTCCATTTCTTATAGTTTGAGAGCCTGAACTGTAAATACTTCTGCCTGACGAAATTCTGATAAATCGTTTTCTTAAAGTCTTACACTGTGACTTTTACAGTTTTGTGCCAGGTTTCTGGGATTTACCACATCTGAAAATATCCAGTACAATGAAACTTCCGCGTGTTATTGTATAGTTTGCACATCCATACTAGACTAGTGTAAGAGTGGAACGTCAACATTTTTTGTAAAAGACATTCCCACTGTTAAAAAAAGGTATAGAAATAACAGACAAAACATTTGTTTCACAATTCATCAATCAGAACTACATTCAGAATGAATGTATCCCAAAGTATTGCAGAGTCCTCACAAAGTGTGGGACAGTTTTCACAGTTTTAAAGATTCGCACACAAATAGGAATATCTCTGCAAAGGCAGATTTCATTATCAGTTCCAGTGAAAGAGAATAACGCCCCAAATATGGCAAAATCCAAAGTCTGTAGTCTATATCGCAGGGGTGGGCGACTCCAGTTGTTTTGAAAGGCCAAGACAGATTCCAAACCACTGCTTTGTAAAGACATTTTTTTTTATAAACGTGTGCGAAACAAGGCACTTCAAAAGTTTTCACTGTTTACTCTAGTTTGAGTAAAGTTAAGCAATACATTATTAATGGCAGTACCTGAAATCTTAAGGTACTGGCATTATATAATATATGCGATATATAAAACTAGCCTGGTACTTTACATGGCAGCAGTTTAAGGAAATAAACATATGTATAAAATCTGTTTTCTGGCTCACTATAAAAATGACCAATCAAAATGTCTGTGTTAAAATAAACAAAATCAAATCAAAAATAAAGCAACCTGAAAGGCAATTCTACCATCTTCAATACACTTACTTTTTACCATAATCATATTATCATATTTAATCTGCTAAATCTGTTTTCAAACTACTGTGTTTATCTTTAACTTTTCCACTATGCAATCCTCTCTCCGCCTTTTTAGTGCCCACAATTGTTCGTTTTGAGTAGCAGAAATGTTACTGACTAAATTTTGAAATTATTTTAGATGAAAATTTAAAAAAGAAAAGAAAAGATCAATTAGTGCTCACCAGGTTCAAATTTAGATGATTGTGTAAAAAATGTAAAAAAGAAAAAAAAACAACAACTCTTTGCTTCTTGGAAGGATTTTTGTAGGTCTGCAACACATTGGCTCTAATTCCAATGGAAAGCACTTTGCAAACAAAACCAGTAATAAGTTGACTCCTAGTCTGCTCTATATGCAGTACTATGTGTGTACAAATAACCCGACTCATCCTTTCATCCCTTCGTGGGACTGTCAGAGTGAAACTTCAAAGCTACCCACACACTGTAATGTGGCCTCCAACCAACCAGCCCAGCCTCTTCCTGTAGCTTCAGAGAAAACACAGTGTATATGAAATGCACAATATGACAGTTACCATGGAGCCGTGACGTTCTTCTTCTTGAAATCTGAGACATAATTGAGGTTTTTCTGCTCTCTACTCTGTACCTGTTATTCAGACATAATTATGGCATTCTGAGCTGCCATAAATGCTATTAGAACTAATCTCATTAGCAGTGTATTGCTCAAAGACTTTTTTGATATTTCGAAAGCTTGAACCATAAATCGAGCAAACAGCAGTGATAAAGAGACAACCCACTTCCACTAAGTCACATATTATTTATCTGAAAATGTTGGATTTCTCTTTTTACTTTAGTTTGCTTAGAAGTAGAAAAGTATAAACTTAGCAATCAGACAACAATTAAACATGAATAATCACAATTATCTCATTACACTACAATGCTCTGCATTACACTGCCCTTCCATTCATTTTAACCATTCCTACAGAACAGCATTTTTCTTATTTTTAAAAAGGAGACAATCTGGTACAGTTTTAACACAATAATTAGGCCTGATCGGTAATCTGGTGTCCCTGAATAGAGCCAAACAAAGAAAGCAGCAACACTGGAAGTAGCATGATTCTCCCATAGCCAGCCAGCTGTCTGTCAGGCCCTAATTTGATTCACTGAACTAGACTGCTCTACCCTATCTGTGGTACTCGTATGGAATCATTTAATAAATATTAGGATTTACTGTGAAGGATAAAGCATAGAAGGAGACGGTGGTTCAGTTTTGGTAAAAAATCTAGGATTTAATTGCAGGTATCTGTGTGTGTTCTTTGCACACATACAGTTTATGGAAGTAGTTTTGCAATCATTAGTTGACAAACTTAAGATTCCACCCACTCGTCTCTTTTGGGTCAAAAACCCGATGTCACTGTCACACAGTTGTGATTAAAAAAAAATCAGTAGCATAAAATATAAAAGGAGGTGTGAAACAAATCTTTTAAAATATTAACTGTTTATTTGTTACCGCCTGTTTATACATTCAGAAATGACCTTTTAGAGAAACAAAAATTAATCAGGCAGTTTGTCCTGTGAAAAAATATGGATTCGATCTTCTCTGGCTGTAGTTTCAACTTTCATACCGTACTTCACTTCAGGCCAAACTCACCACCGTTCAACATTATTACAACCAGCAAGCCCAGCCTGTTTTTCATTTATACTTCTGTCCTTCAATAAATGGGGTAATTGCAGCAAGCACCTACAGAGTTATATCACACCCATAATGCTAGTGGCAGAGTTCCCAGAATTCATTACTGTGGGGTAGAAACAGACCTAGAGGAGCACCATGTCCATGTCACCATGACCCATTTCATTGGTGTTTCATACAGACTGTTTGATTTCCAACCTCTAAAAATATTTTGCATATGCAAGCTTTTAAAATGCATTAATCTCTCTATTTTTATATGTGAGTCTGTATTTGTGTTAACCATCTGATCATGGAAGTGGACAGCAAGGCCGAAACGTTTGACACTGCTGTTAAATATATCAAATGAAAATGAGCTAGAACACATGAAGTGTTGGTGGCATCAGCTGCAGTAAGTAATGTGAGCAGAGAATGCTTCACATTATGAAATAATGATTTCCTTGCAGTGGCATTTTGTCAGGCAAATCTAAAGTCACACTGGTGAAAACTGTATAGAAACTAAATGTAGAAAAAATAGGGGCTGTATCATTCAAAAAGCACCCATGTCACATCCAAAGAATCACCAGCAGGGATACGTTTGATACCTTTTAATATTACAGTTTTAAAAATGTGCTGACACTTATTGTTGTTTTTGTTTTTTGGACCTTAATGTAGGCAGTGAATGCACAGTCTGCAGTTTTTCAGTTTCAGTTAAAATATACCCCAACACAAGAATCACATACTCCAAACAAATGACACCTCGTGCACTAATGAGGCACACCAGCAAACCTGACAGAAATAGTGGTCGACTGAGTAAGAGATCCACAAATTAGAAATAGTTTTACAGTCTGTCTAAAAGTGGCAAGACTGTGGAAAACCAGCTTTAGTAAAGGGAACTCTCTAAGTCATGAGGACTTTCAGTTGCCACATCAACTTCCTGAACGCACCTAAATAGTAATTAACAGTGGGCAGAGGCAAGCCTGGGCCTGTCTGACACACAGTAGATGACTAACACTAGTGTAGTCTCATCAAGTTCACAACTCAACAGCTATTTTCTTGCAACACTAGGAGATATTTGTTGTTTCTATCAGCTTGTTTCTATCTACACCAAACTGTGACATATCTGGCCTCGGTCAGTATCAAAGGAATGCTCTGCTTTCTGCACAGGTTTGTATCTGAGCCCACATCCTTACCTGTTCAAACTCTCTGAGGCTGTGCATCTGTACTGGGGGTCCTTTGTCTGTTTCGTCCCCTGAGAAATCTGCACAGGTAGAAGAAGAAACATGTACACATCAACTCTGTAAGCTTACGGCCATTACTCGCAGAGGAGCTATTCTGCTGCAGGAATTTAATACCCTTAGGGTTTTCTATGTTTATAGCTTCATAACACAGAACAAGTCTGCTGTATACAGTGTGTTTAATTGTAAAAAACAAAAAGCATTTGATCTGTAAAATGCTGTTTAAATCTCCTCATGAATGCTTCCTATTTACAGTAAATTTGCTCTAGTTTCTGAGAATTATCAGTGCAACAGCAACGGGTGAAATTTAAACACTTCAGGGTTTTCTGAGCAACGTCCCTGAGACTGTGTGATCAACCATCACCTCGTTATAAACCCATTAAACCTAGATACAAATGGGCTGTGTGTGTCCTTATACACACACTCATAGAATTGATATAGTATATTGTGGTCCAATTTAAATATTTCCAGAGGTCTAAAGACATTGCAAAGCCATGCTTATCCCCTATAACAGGCCAGGAGTTTTCCAAGAAAACTCCATCCAATACTTAGAATTCGATTTGTATAATAGTTTGAATTTTGTTCCTTTAAAAGCAGGGCCAATTATCTGCAGGAGAAAGGGGGTGGTGGTAGTGAAGGGCACGATCCCAAGGGGTGTAATCACGTTAGTTTTGGCAGAGTTTATATTTCTAACGGTTCTTTAAAATTACAGCACATTAAATATTATTAAAAAGCTGTTGTGTAAGAAGTTAGACGGTATCCTGGATCAAGTGCTGAGATGTTAGCTGCTGCAGTGCCTGCAGCAAGCCAGGCTACGAGACACTACAGAACACCGATATGGATGACATAATAGTAGAAGTATGCAAGCACACATTTTGTTTGATTGGACTTTTCAGAACCATCATTAACATAATACATTACTTTTGTCCGAATCCTCATCGCATTTAAATCACACTTTAATACTGTGAATTTTGACAAATAATTTCATGTCATTGTCCTGGTCTTTGACCCAGGACTACGATTAAGCTAGAAGCCAGAGAACAGTGATGCCTGAGGTAATCAGAGCACTCGGGGCAGTAACCACCAAACTGGGTGAATGGATCCAGCAGATCCCAGAAATCACTTTGGAGATCTGTCCTAGGAAGAGCAAAGATACTTCACAGGCCATCAAGCTGCCAAGGTAGGGGTATTCTTAAATTATAGGACCCAAGTTTGAATGATAAAGGCAGCTTACTTACAAAGAAATGAACATTGTCTATTTTTTAGAAGCAGGAGAAAATGCACATTTAAAAAAAAAGACAAGCACCACTTTGCATTTGTAATACATTAGGAGACACTTACCCATCATGCTTTTCGGCCTGGCCCGTTTATCTGCACCACAGTGCCTGAAAACAGAGACAGCTGTCAGTAAAGTTTTTTCCCATGTGTCTTCACCAGCAGCCACATAATGATCCTTATCTTTGCACTAAACCTGTTTTCTGCTGGAGTCCTGTCTGCATGATGTATGTGTGAAAATGTAGTAAGTCGTACAAAGCAGTAGGAATGAGCAGAGCTGCTTCACACTGCCATGTCAGAGAAGCTGACACTCACATGCTGCTGGTGGAAAATGAGTCAGCAAATGCTTCAAGTCACACAGCCATCAGTCACCAATGGGGAACCAGTAAACAAAGACAGCATGGACTAATCCAAGAACTCCTTCCACCAACTGGCCATGAAACTCTAAAGGGGCTTCTTAGAGACTTCCTCATTTTTGGGACCTAATGTTAACTAACCTGTGCACCCCTGCTAATATACATGAATTACAAGCCGCCATATATAGGAGAATACTGTGATTGGGTGAGGTTGGTTAAGTCCTTTACACTCCTGAGACATATCCTGTAACCAGTGTTGAGGAGTAATGGAATACATGTACCGCCGTTATGTATTTAAAATACAAAAGAGAAATGAGTAACTGTATTCTGTTACAGTTACCGTTTAAAAGGTGGTATTCAGAATACAGTTACTTTGTTGAAATAAAGGGATTACACGGCAGTCTTTTCCTGTTTCATATGTTAGGCTGTCCCCTCTCTATTTCTGGTAATTCCACGCCAGTGGAAACCCAAACAACACACGCATTAAGAGGCTCTAATGATGTGACAAAAGATTTTTTCAAATTATTGTTCAAAAAATTTTTTAATATGAAGGCAATAGGCAGAGTGTCACAGGCATAGCCCTAAAGAATGTAGCCTTATGGGAATAGTAGCCCAGTTGTAAGTAAGCTATTAAGACTCGACTGTACAATGTGTTTGTGTTTTCCTCTAGAACAATAACTTCTGTTGGAGCAGATTTTTAACGCCTCTCTGTGTCTCTCACTAGCAAAGTTGACCCAGACAACAAAGTAAAGCTAGTTTTCGGCTACAAGCCCGACACGGAACTCGACGTATTAGCCAGAGGTCCCTTTACTACGGTTTGGAGCCGCTGACCTGTTTTATATACGCGTTCGCTGCTAAAAGTGCAGCTTTACCTAATGTCCACTTACTGTTACTCATTTACATTAAGATTTAAACATCTAGTTGGTATTGGTATGGCAAGTAACCTTCAGTAATAGTAATATATCACACAGCAATAGTACATTCATGTAGTTGTAAAAGCATGATAATATATTAAGTAATCCAAAGTATTCAGAATATGTTACTCTCATTGAGTAACGTAACAGAATACGTTACAAAATACATTTTGGGGCATGTATTCTGTAATCTGTAGTGGAATACATTTTAAAAGTAACCTTCCCAACACTGCCTGTAACTGGTAATTTTAAAATACTTTATGAGCTAATGTTATAAACTACCTATCAACAAATCCATGCAGTGATTGCTAGATGGCTAACTTTTTTGCTAACATTACATTGCCAAATTACTTCACCAGCTAATATGATCTGTTAGAATAACTGATATGATGATGATATTTATTCATCAGTAAATCATTTATTAGCCAAACGCAAAGACTGAATTCATGTGAATTATTGGTTGGCAAGCTAGCCAATTTTGCTGTCATTATACCATTATAACCTGGGGTTAAAGCAGCCTGGAACCCTGAGGAATGATGTTCCAACACCTTTAGTTGAAGAGTAAATAAATCTGATTGGCAGTTTAATACAAAATACTGTCAAGCAATTTTATTTTTTAAGAGCTGCAGTCTAATGGTCCTTTTAGCTATTTTT